AGTGCTTGAATTATATTTGTCACACTTTGTTGCTTTGCAGTCACGGCTAGACACACTGATTCTTCACTTTCCGTTGTGGGCCTGTGATATCACAGAGAGAGTTCAATTGCTGCCATTACAAGTTAACTAACTGCAGAGGTGTAACTATCGCTGCCTTTTTCAGTTTTTGCACGTTTGCAAAAAATCTTCACTGCGAAATGTGTTGCAGTGACTTCTGGATAGCAATGACTTATTCAGGTCTTGCAAAGATGGCTCTGAAAGTGCTCATTCTCTTTGCAGTAATCTACGAGTGAGAGGCAACTCTTTCTATTCAATACCATATAAAAACCAAATACCGAAACAGACTGGATTTCACACATGACATGAGAGTTGCACTTTCCAAAACTCAACCCAAAATAGATGAAATGATTGCAACGAAACAAGTAAACCCATATCAATAAATCTAGCCCAACGTTTTATCAGTTGCAAGTGAGTAGGCTACATCTTCCTTTCTGGACTTTTTCACATATTGAACACGATAAAGCCAATAATAAATGTCTGATATTTGACTCACAATTCGCATTGAAGAAAAGATTACGTTCTTAAACACTGGCCGTAATAGGATATTTAGAACTGTTTCATTATGAACCTCAAGAAGTTTTCGACACGAAAGAACACAAGCAGTGTTCAGTTTCGCTAACATTGTTGTTCGAAATATCACTCTAATCCGAGTAAATCGACAGTTGAAACATAAGGTCGACCAACTAAATTTAATCTAACAAAGCATCAGCACAGGAATGAGTTGAGGAAACTGACAATCGGTGTCCATACATCCAATATTAACACAATAAAAGGAAAAAAGTAGCAAAGCAAAACAGTCACGTCCGGTTTTTTACTGAAGATCCCTTGTCCAATGAAACACATCGGCGAGCCCTGCCCCCTAACGGTAACACGCAAGACCTATATCGATGGATTTAAAATTCAAAAAAAGGAGTAAATGCTAAAATTGATGGAACTCAGTAACACAAAATTTCACCATTGCATTACAATCACAGCTGGTTAGATATTCTGAACTACTTGGTCTGGATACGATTCTTGTAAGAAGCTCACACAAGGCTAGGAATTTTCATTATACTGGCAACGCTGAGCTGGCATGATAACTCTGGCAACGCAACAATGCAAATTTCTATAGAATATTCGCCCCCTCATTTTGTGCTCAATATTGTAAATTTACAGAAGGAAGGGCATATATCTTTAGGGCGTATAAGTGATTAAGTGTCATTCGTAAACATTGTGTCAATACTACCCGAGCATCGACTTCTTTGTTTACTTCTGTAATATTGGCCTATCAACAAGATGTCCATGGTGACGCAACAATGCAAATTTTAGTAGCCACGGAGACACTTTCTTCATTCAGATTTTTCAAGTATGGTGATTAGCATTACCTCGTTTCGGGTCTCATGTACTTTCTTACCTGAATAACTTCTAGTGGGCGTGGCGTAACAATTTTTGGATACATGATTCCTGACCCCATCCAAAAATTGTTACGCCACGCCCACTAGAAGTTATTCAGGTAAGAAAGAACATGAGACCCCTCGTTTCTATGGTTTTGGAAGGTATTTGTCAGTTTTAGTTGCTTTTCCGAAATATAAGTATAAATTGAATAAATAACTCAACGATCAATTTGTTATCTGAAAAGTTTTTATCTAGTTTCAGTTACTAAAAACTAGTCCCGAAGCCTATATACCTGGTCTATATGTCGGATAGTTGAATATTTTGACACTCCTGTTACCTGGCACTATTTCAAATCTGCAATTTGCACACCTGCGACATACGCTGGTACGCTGTTGTTTTATTTTTATCGTAGCCTGATGATTTTGACGGGATCTTTGGATTAACAAGGACATCTACGGATATTCGAGCGAAGTAGACAAATGGACCGTGTTTGTGAGAGCAGTTTGCAATCGGAGTTTTCCAGTTTGGTAAGTGAAGTGTTTGTACTTTCTATCAAAACTATTATTTTGTACGTCATGCAGACTGACTATGTAGTAGCCAACAAGTAATTTACGCCGCCATTATGCGCTCAGTACGACTGGTAGGTTCGATGTTCATGTTATCCCTGTGCTGTAGCTTAGTACATGAAATACTGGCATGAATGTCTCGCCCTCGTCGATGGCATACACGTCGCTGACCTCACTAGTTCTATGAATGCTTCTAATTTATCTGTGAACGCATACAGTATAGATTATGAATCCGCCCATGTAGCCTACGTGTAGGCTATTGACCCTCATCCGTCCATGGCGGAGAGGCAGTCATTTCACCAAACTTCATGGTTCGTGGGGGCCTTCCATTAAGAAGACATTCAATAAAAATCACCTGGGTCCGAGCAAGTCAGCCTATAGGCGATTTATGTAGCGCAATCTATTTCTGGCGTAAATCAGATTTCTAGAGTAATCAGCATTTTCCATCTGCATGTTCTTCATCTGAAGATCTTTTCTTTGGATACTGCTATATGGAATTACTGTAATCATATAGCAACATACCATTGGCAGTTTTGCTACCATAATGTATGCGTCATCCATTTATTGAGCACTTATGTGGCGTGAAACCTGTCATAAGGTGTACCAAAGTGCCTTGTATTGTAGTAGTTCAATGTAATGTTCATGCCCTGCGAGTAAGCGGGAATTATGAAGAAAAGTTCCATTGTTGTAATTACTATTTCGGTCGAATAGTGTATTGAGGTTTGCACTATACATTCTCATTCTTTTATTTATTTTATTTAAATAAAAAACTTGTTCAAATCACTCACGCAGCAGTAAAAGAGATTAATCTCTGAGAAAAGCAAAACGTCATCTACCGAAGTGCTACTGCAAATAAAATGAAATATAGCGATGGTGAGTAAGTTAGTAAATTCGAAGCTGACAAGTGAGCGAGGTTCAAATATACGGACACGAATGGCTACCGGTTAGGGTGTCCACCTAGGCCTAGTTTTTATCCGAACCTTAAAACCGAGGTTCGAGTTTCATACTACTTGCTGACATCTAAATTCCCACCAAGCGTTCGAAATTTTGTTTGTGAAGGCAGCGTTCGGCACCGAGAACCAATGTGCGTTGTCGTAACTGGAGGGCGAGTGGTGAAGATAATAATAAATTGTACTGTCGCTGAGACAGCAAGTTGGGGCTGGTTTAAACAGGAATAAAACGCTTTTGTTTGCTTTGTATTTATGTTTTTATTCGAAATTTTAACCTTTTCAAATACAATTTGAACGGTAGAATATGGTCCAAAGTGCACCCGTTAGAACTATTATTATTTTCGTTATTTCCATCTAATCTAATAAGAAAGTAAACGCATCATTTCGGAGAAAATGAAACCCGCGTTGCGATTGCGAAAACTCGAATCGGACATACTAGTACCGGCATGGTAAGGATTAGTTGTATCAAAGCAGCGAGTTTGCTGAAAAAAATTGAATACTTTTTGTCCGAAAATCACCCTTATTTTGCAAATCATCAGAGACAAAAATGCGTGTTGAAAGGCTTTACAAACGACCTATTCATTCAATACACGGTCCGATCGATTAGACTCTAATCACTAGAGTCTGACTAGACTTTTCACAATTCCCTTGAAAACGCGTGTAAATACCTATAGGTGCACGCAGATTGCAAATACAACTTGAACAAATAACGACCCAGAGTGAAATTGCAACATTATCCGCCATTATTCCCCCCTAAAAATCCTATTTCTAAAAATAAAATGCACTCCATAAACGGAACACACACCCCAACCAGACGGCAAACAACGCGCTGATACGGATGAACAAATCGATGTCTCTGAGTTATAAGCAATGTGAATTTTAAACTCACAATTGGGATAAACTCTTTCCTGATTGCTCTATCGGCATGATCACATAACGTCCTAACTTAACATATTCATCAATCACTTTCGGGCATATTAATAAATTGCGATTTACATATCATTCAGCAATACTGCTTCGCTTCATGTCCGACCCGAATCCTTATTATTTCGTGCTAAGAAACCTGTTTTGTTTGTTTCTAAAAGACAATATCGCGCCTGTCACTTCACTATATTTTAAACACTTTTGTTTGGTTTTTATTTATTTTACAAATGTTAAATGTTAATTTTCATCAGATTAATTGATGTAAGACATGTACAAATGTTCATGCAAATTCTTGAGATATATTGAAAAAAGTTACAATGAAACTTAGGTCTAAGCTATCATGCAGGGTCTTGGTGCGTATCATTTCAAAATGAATTAGGAAAAGTTACTTCTTCGTTAAATATCAAAGATGTCGTCAAAGTGGGAACATTCTAATTAAACCAGTTTTGAAAGAATATAAAATAAATAAGTAGAGGAATTACACTCAGTAGTTAATATCGGCAATGAAAAAATGTAAACGCACCTGAAGGTTAAGTGATGGAACTAGACTTATAACGAAGTAGGTTAGAGTTAAAAACATCGCAAATAGAAAAAAAAAAAAAATGAAACCACTGCTGTGGTTAGAATCGGGGTCGTTTTACTAAAATATTTGTGGAATATCTCGCGTATGCATTTGCATTTGCAAAAAGCCATTGTCAAGACTGAAAAATAATAAAAAGCAAGCTTAATGCAAGATATACATAGCAAAATATTTGCTATGTACATGTGCCTAATTTACCATTTCAAAATATTCAAAAGTTTTAAAATAAGTGTGGTACCAGGCAGAAATTTACAGCCTGTGTAGAAATAAAAAAAAAACATTAATAAATTTTTTTTCTTCAATAGTGGTTTTTATAAGTTATTATGTAAAGAAAATGAAAAAAATCAGACGAAAAGACGTTAGTAAACAAATGAAGAAAACAAGAATAAATACACCATGACACTGATTGTACTGAGATAATTTACAGAATAATAACAACTACCAGTAGTTGTGAAAACAAAATAATAGAATGTAGAGGTTTTATATTTTATGCAAGTCCAAGTTTCATCAGTCCAAATGTACTTTGTTTTTCTTATTGTCCGAATAGTTTGATAGAATTAGTCAGAGAAATCCATGCCAATATCTCAAATATTATGACACCGATGTAGTACACCAATATGTAGGGTTGGGTGATTCTCTTGTCAGATTTCTATGAACTAAATATATCTACCTACTGTCAAATGGTAACCTGATACCTTTCTCCAGAGCAGGCCACATAAATACCGATGGGTTGAAGATGACAACTAGTGCGATTCGTGTTTATATACTTTTTTTTTATCAAAGATTTCATCATAAAACGCAAAATATTTGTTTTTAGAGGAATTTAAACTAACTAGAATTGCAGCTAGAAATAGTGAGATAAGATCGACACTGAGATTTCGCAAAAGTTTCCTGATTCAGTTTTTGTAAACATAAAGGCTTATCACAAATAGAACAGGCAGAGACAAGAAATATTTATAATTTAGGGTTATTAGTTATTATTCACAAATGAGTCGTGTCACCTATGCTCGGATTAGGTATGACCACATATGATACAGAACTTGTTATATGATCTATATGCTCCATTTTTTGATGTTTGTTTCTGGTGAAACTGAATAGTTTATAATAAGTGACGAAACATCGACACTAATTAATGTCAGAATTTGACATAATTTTCGAAGCCAGATGTAGCATGCAACAAAACTGGCGATTTTTGTATATGGGTCAGTAGAATAATTTTAACGAAGATGGGTGATTAGTTTGTCTAACCATCTCCTTTCCTATAATAACCATGTTTAAACAGAAGTTTAGTTTTGAAAATGTTGGTCGATGAAGCATAATGTCATCTCAGCGTGATATCAATGTAGTTCAAAATGAATGAAATGTTACTGTCCCGAATATCACGAACGACCTCCTTGTCTTTGCCAGATCCAGACTGCGTACTCCTTCGTGTAGTAGGTTTGATGATTGTGTTGTCGCTTTGTTTCATAGCGACCTTGTTTTATGTTTATAGTGAGAAAATATATTCCCTGAGTTGTGATACTTTCGTATCCTTCTTCTACGTCTATTCTGGTGGCAGCGTCATCTGCATTTCTGTTATATCTACATCACAGAGATAAAACCACTTATTTGAGATATATCTTCGTGGCCCGACCGCATTTTCAGGAATTTTGAGTCCTTTATTGTAATATCGTTCTCGTCCGTCAGCCATTTTCCAGTAAAACATACCCTTGAAAAAGTAATGCGCTGAGTCCGTATACGAGTAATACGCACTGTCGATGTTATTAGGCAATGGAGACGCTCCTCCCCAGCCAGGGAATTCTTTGGATATCTCGTATATACCTTCGACCTTCGATTTTCTCCAGTCGTATTTGTAAACCTGAAAATCAAGATATTTCGTTGTAAATGCAGGCGATCCAACGAAATTTGAAAATTGAAATTATCATTAAATATAATTCAACTATCAAGATATACGTGTGGGCAGAACAACTGACCAGGTTGTATAAAACGGGTTCATGAATTAGTAAAGTTTAAATTAATTAAGTCTAAAATAATTCGAATGGGTAACGAGTGAAAGGCAACAAAATATTGCTGTGTTCTTTATTTTTGCATTGTAAATTACCCAATCAACGTAGAAAACTTTTATTAAGACTCACCAAGCTATTTTTGAAAAAGTACAGCATTCTTTCGGTCATCTTATAGAAAACTGTATCGATGGGATATGGTATTCCTGGGAAACCCTCGCTAATCTTCCGTGGATATCTTCTTCCCTGCTTGTCGGTGATTTTCGCTCTATCTTTTACGCTGTCGTATTCGGTGAAAGTGTCGCCTAAACAGGTGAAACATATATGATTATAATTTTGGTAACCTGCGTGTCTTAATAAAGTTTATATTAGGATAGTATCAACTGATATATGGTTATAGCTTCGTTGTGATATGAAACATAGTACAAATCTTGGTCGATGCACAATTGTTTGAGTAGCAATTATTTGAAATTCAAAGTTATATCAATTTACAAATAACGACAGTATTAAATCTAATTCTTCCTATACCTGTGAAAAAGTAAATCGGCCCATCAGGCACACTCCAGTCTCGAATGTGTACAACTCCGTCAACTTTTCTATGCCTATCAGTGCTTTTATCATCCATAACGCCCCTCCAGAAATTTGAACTATATTTAGGATCCCCGTATCTTGGTCGTCGTCCTCTGTAATAAACATAAGATTGTTAAGTCCTCAAAAAAATAGTCACATATCAGACACTTTCTACAGTAACTGAAAAAATTTTCTGCTCAATAAGCAGTAGCCACTTGTATATATCTTGGAATTTCTGTGGTTTTGTGCCCGAGTGAGATCACATTATGAGCGTGTTAAATAAGGCCTATTTTTTCCGCCGAAAGCGTGGAATTTGAAGATATCTTATGTGTTTCTATTCATGTTTACTAACTAAATAAAATCTTAGAAACATTTATAGTAAGTGTAAAGTGTTTATAAATAATGTACCTGTTTTCATAAAGCCAAAACCATGTGTTCTTGAAAAAGTATGTGTTGTACTTCCAACGTAATGATCCGTCCGCAGCAACATATTGACGAACCCAATCAAATACGGCGTCGAAAGCAAGATTGCAGCTTCCTGTTAAAATATTCGAGTTATATATATATACTTTTGTCTTCATGGATTTAAAATCAGAATGTCCAAAAATTCGGTCTTAATCTTGGAGTAGGAGGACCGAATACATTGAAAGGCAAAACGGGTGAAGTTTGTTAAATTGCTATTTCTCGCCCGCGTTTGTTGATCAAATCATATTAATTTTTTGAAGTTGTCTCAATATGCTTCCGTCGATTTGTTATCGTCATTCAAACTTAATCTTTAAGCCTTGAAAGCATACATTTGTCACTCACTATTTAATAACGAAGAACACATATGAGTACTTCTTCAAGATTACGTAATAATAACGATTTAGACACAGCTTATTTCGTAATATGTGGTTCTTTGAAAGTCTGTCATTTTTATGTACTTTTGAACCTTTGAGCGAAATGCTTGAAGGACTTTATAAGACTTTCGGTTTGCTGATGGGTATTGTCGTAAGATCTACTGAATGGCGGCTTCCGATATTTTAAAAATGTCTATCGGTTTGAATTGTGGTAACCGATGAAAGTTTTAAAGACAGTTTTGGCAAAGTACTAAAAGACGCCATACGCTTTTGAAAGTAGTTATGTCGAGTTCTAAATAGTAAGAAGCTGTAGGTGTCTAACTATTCTACTTACCATATACCCTTTGTATAGCTATCCTGTCAACATCTTCTAATTCGACAACTTTTTTGCTTTGATATGGAGTATACACAGGATTCATGACAGAGTTCTTGTCTTTTTTGTGTGGCAAACCAAGAGCATGTCCAATTTCGTGTGTTGCTACCTGCAATAAGAAGTTGGTAAATTGGTGTTAAATATAGAATATTTATAACAATTTTTGACATTGTTTATAACACTTTAATGTGTGCCCTCGTAATATACCGCGCAATTCATAAAAAAAAAGAGATTTTCATTATTTTCACGTAGTTTTTATGAATCAGCGTGATAATTTAGAGTGTTCATACCAGTTTCGAATTTTTTTTTTAACACTTTAATGTACCCTCATAATGTCTGATCCCACAGTTTAAAAAAAATTATTTCCTCATCTTTTTCGCTTGGTATTTGTTTAATCATTCGACTTACCTTTAGTAAACTGATTGGAGTTCCGTGAACAGTCATAGGCGGTGACATTGAAATATCTTTTGCTGGTTCCCAACTGACAGATACGAAAGGTTGATCGTCATTAAAATGGACTTCAGCTTGTGGCAATGGCCATGCGTGTGCATATTCTCGTGCAAAGGGACCGTCAGAGAATGGCACCAAGCATCTGTTGTGAACCTCTGAAAGCAAAATAATAAAATTTTAGTGTCTAGTGGTAAACTAAAATGCATTCGAGGTTTTGAAATGTAAAAATACAATCGGAAGAGTAATCCCAATCTTTTATTGTATTGACTAAAACGTGGGAGACCAAACACGTGGGAGAAATGATAATGTCAGGCATACATATGGCGAAATGTATGTAAACCAAATGAGATTCTTAATAACTTTTTACCTTATCTCTATAAAAAAAATAACTTCAAGTGTATAGTAGTAGACTAAAATGCAGTCAAAGTTTCCAAATGTAAAATTACAAGCCGCAGATTATTTATAAATTTAATACGTTAAACGCATTTTAAACATGTGGGGCAAACGATGAAGGCATGTGGCACAATAAATTATTCTCAATACCATTTTTCTAATATATATATATGATTCGACGATTTTTATTTCTGGATTAAGAAATTGCCCCTATCATATTACGATCAAAAAAGAAAATGAAGTTATTTTTCAATTTACGTTTTACGGAGAATCCACTATCAGTTACAGCATCTACATATACAACGCTTTTATCTAGCCCAGGGCTGTAACAAGAAAGCGAAAAATAACTGTTTGTTGGTACTTGATGAAAAATATACCAATACCATGATACTACAAGATTCCTAAAGAATTGACAAAAAAGCATACATTGGGGTATACAATTTGAATTGTTATCGCCAACATGAGAAAGTCTTACAAAAATGACTTTAAACCAAGAGCCTAGTGTATCTTTTCAGAGATGTCCATTGACAGCATTTCATTTATATTGTCAAGTTTAAATCCGACAAAACAATAAATTGTTTCAAAATGTAGTTAATTATTACCAAGTATTTGCGTAATACTGCAAAAGCAGTCGAATAATACAATGCCACAAAAATGTAAATGCATAGTATGTAAGATGCAGACAGATTTCGAACGTGGCGTGCTTTCGAAACAAAGCAGTACCTAGAGAAATTATCTTTTCCTAAGAAACAACAACAAAGAATCAAAGACAAAGAAGGAACGATTTGCGCCGATATTTTTTAACCCTAGCGGTCGTCTGACGTGCGCTTTTATTCTACGTAAATTGTTCATTTCTTAGGTCAAAATGTCGCGAACCCAAATGAACAATTTAAACACATCGTTAAAAGTGCGTGACGATCTTTTTATCAATTATAGTAAATTATTTTGAAATTGTCCACAATTCTTTGATCACAGAATGTCACCGCCTATCTAAACAGTAGTGAAACCATTTAGGTTCGTTCAATGTTTATATTGGGTAATTTCGGGCAATACGGTCTGGTATTTTTCTTATTGTGCCGTCGTTATCAGGGGCGTCGGGGCTTAATGGAGAGCTATCTTCAAGATCTTTATTGTAACAGCTTTGAAAATGATCCCTGAGGAATAGCTACCGTGCGAACTCCACTTATGACTCACAAATAATTTGTCTGGGATGACGTACAATGTTCATTGTTACGCCAAAAGCGCCAAATTGGTCGTCAATTTGCTGTGATTTGATATGGCTGCCATGCGTTGATCGCTTGTGATATCTTCACCAAAGTATTGGCCCATATCTAGCTAGGCACCTGGCCACAATCAGTGGTGTTTGAATTTTAACTGCGTATTTTTATCAGGCAGATCCATTAGCGATATGATTATACTGATATAGATAATGTTTATTTTGATTGAAAATGCGTATCAAAATATAATTGTCTATCTAAAATTGGAATCCATTTGAATATCATGGAATTAATCATTTTTTAAATTACATATTGTCATTTATATAATAACAATCATATAATAAAATCACAGGGAAGCGAGAACTGACATCTACACCCGGTCTCCTAACTCTAACAAACTTTGTGACTTTTAAAATTTACTCCTATTTATAATTTTGCTTATCTCGTCGTAATTTATGTCTTTTTCATAGCAAACAACATTTTAAATATCCAATAATATCTACAGCCGACGATATTACAGCTATTTTAGGCGTTGTTGTTACGAATTTAGAATGGAATGTCTTTGAATAATGCATGCTTGCATATTTCACTCCAGTGGTTGTAATTGCTGCTAATTCAAGTATGAATATATTTAAATTGGTATCCTTCATTATCGAGGTATGCCATGAAAACCCGGTTACTATAATTGATAAATAGGAATAACATAATCTCTTTCTACGAAATAGTAAGTTTAATTATGACACATATTATTTACTGACACATACGGATCCGCAATAGAAAGAATACAAGGAGAAAGGACTTGCAGTTCAGTACACAATACTCTAGTACACCCCATATTATATTTGAGATAATGTTTTATGTCAGCCTAAAAACGCATGTGCAAGGAAATATTTCTTAGCGATCAAGCAAGCTCGCTGATTAGTTTTGTGGAAATATTCAGGAAAAGCGCAATCGAACGCTCACGATTTTCTGTGTAGAACACTTATTGGAAAATCATCAGAAAGTGGTCGTGAACCACCGAAAGTTCCGCGGACAATTATTTCAAGATATTTCTAATTAATTGTAAACCACCAATGTAACTCATTAGCATTTATCTCAGTATCTTCAAAGAACTTGAATTAGAGCCAAGAATATTTTCAAGATATTATACGTCGGTTATTTGACGTCACGTCAAAGTTTGTGGTTTCGTGACCTTTCGGAGACGAGATCTGTTTATTCCAAGTTGGTATTGATAATTAAACTCAGCTAGCATAGTTGGAATATGTTTGTCAAGAATGGAATTCTCAGACATTGCGTCGACAGAGGTCACGCGAAGCTTGGAATTTCGATTTTTTTTTTCAATGTAAACTTGTGGAGTGGTAAGACGGATTAACGCTGTTTTTTTATATTGCTTCAGATATGCTAATATACATCTCGCCGAAGAATTTCAGAAGCGCTGATATTTCGTTGCATTTCCTCTCGCGATACGTGACATAGCATGGTGAAAAAATAAATTACTGATTACATAAGAGAATCGAAACAACATTCATCATTAATAAATGTTACGAGCATAGACGCACGTGGCGACATTTATACCAAGACATTGTTATTACTCTTCTCCCTATTACGACATAAAGTACAACTCACTTTTTCCGAATCCCAGTAAGATATCAACATTTGTCATCGGTGACGTATTGTCTTCTCTGAAACTTCGAGGTAATATTTCACTCCACATTCTAAATGCCAGTTTCACCGTAAACCAAATCTCATTGGAAATCATGAACGTTCGTTTCGTCGGCCATTCTTCTACCTGTATTAAATTTAAATATTTATTATTTTTTTTTGTGAAAATAAGCCAATTTTAGAGATGGCTTCTCTGTTGTATTTCCTATATTCTTCCTCATCACCAATATTTGAAAAGGCAATATTTTAATCCAAAAAAGGCATTGAAATTGTATGATAGTTATATGCGATTCTGTGTATAAATAATAGCACTGACCAGTCGCCACGTGATGACAGGTTTTGGAAAGGCCATCAACCACCCGTTTGTTTTCGTATATTTTTTCTTGTACTCATTCGATCTTTTCATTCTTGTCCTTGTTTCCATGACCATTCTTCTCACCAAGCTGGGTACTGGAGAGGCCGGTGGAGGGCGTACAGAGCTAACGACATCGTGGAATATTTCATCTCGCTTTGTCGCATTCAACTGAGAAAGCTTTTCTTTTCTTAGAGCTTCAAAAATTCCTTCCAGTGCTGTTACTCTGTGAACATTTTTTTCATCGGAATTGAATTTTGAAAACAATATTTCAGCATTTTAGTTGCTATACACCAGGGGTGGCCAAGCTGCTTTCGACCGCGATCGACTAAAATCTTCAAAATAGCTCGCGATCGACTGGTCGATAATAAAATCATACACAAAAACGAATGGGTACTGAATATGCAGATAACTCCCCACATTTACTTTTAACCAGATGAAATAACAATCCATCTTACACACAATTCCGATTCAAACTCATGTATGCCCAGTAATTTATGCATGGCATGTCCTGACTACAGACCGACGACTCGAATACTGCGAGACCACGAATCACCAGACTGACAAACTCGTGTGGTACAGAAAAAATTGATTGCACAGAGATTAAAAAAAGTAGCACCTGCGCAGCTATTTCTCAACAGTAAAACGCCAACAAAATTGATTTTAATTTTCAAGTTATGGAATTAGCTAAATCACTGATCCAAATATAGACTCGCGCGATTTCTTCCTGACACCATTAGTGAGACATTAATCCGACCTTTTTGGTAATAACGCGTCAGAATCAAATTTGTGGATAATTTGCTTGTTGCCATAACATTTGACCTGACCTCTGACCTTAAATTTAACAAGATGTTCTGCGTTCTAAGAACATTTGTTGCGTAATTGAAAAATTTTTCATTTTTAAAATTGAACCAACTGCAGTTTAACTGGGGGGTTTCTTATCAAGGACATTTTTTCGTTATGACACAAATTATTTAAATTTACATTCTAGTAGACAAATGAGAATACAATTCACCAACGAATGTTTGAATATATTGGAATCAAAAGTTTCTATTTAATGAATTATATTTTCTCGGAGTGTTTCAGATTTTTAAGTTTCTGATTATCTAACAAGATATAGATAGAACACTCTTTGAATGGTCTCGGTTTTCGAGAGGATCCTAAAAGCTGTAAACGATATCGCCTAATTTTCATAAAGCGTGTTGAACTTCTAATAATATCAGGTGTGCCGCTTCTTGTAACAAGAAAACCGTGTAAGCTAAATCGTTCGTGACTCTCGTCAAAAACCGCCAATCTGGCGACACGAATATTTATCGTAGTAATTTGATCCGAGGCCGAGAATGCGGCTTATCATACCCCGCACGCGCCGTTGTTTAAACCATAAATAAACCAGAATGTAGTTTAGTTTTCGTTGATATTTTTGAAGACTCGAAGGAGAAATTTTTACTGTCAACAGAGGTAATGGACGGAACTTTAGACAGGCTGAAGTGATACTGAAATACCGCAAAAGGGATAGATAGGGCAGCCCTAATTGCGTGAAATTCCTTTATATAACAATGCGTAATTTTCATAGTAATATAAATAACAATTGCTTGTCAAATACTAGTGGTTTTTAGGTCTTAATATTCACATTTGCTTAGATTTCATGTTTCGTGCATTCATTTTAATTCTATTTAATATCAATACTTTCATCATTGTAATGGGTGTCCATCTAATAAATGTTGAATGAAAGAAACAATTGAAATATGGAGTTTTAAATTCAACTTCGATTCTAATTCCGCTAATAAAGTTTTTCCAAGAAAAACAAATGGTTGAGGTGATGGCAAATATCTTATCGTGGGTCGCTTGTCTATCCTAGATTGTCCAAACAGGCGCGAAAGTTGAAATTGATCACTTACCTAGATTCATCTGGAAGTTCAGCTTCCGAAATTGGCCCATCAACCAGCTCCTTGAATCCCAATTGTCGAGTACGAATCTCATCGATATCAAAATCCATGGAAGCGTCGAAAGGTACTTCCTCCATGCCAGCTTCGATCTGAATATCACCGGCAATCGCAGATCGTCGCTTTCTTGATAAATCTTTGTTATCGTTGTCAGGAATCGTCTTCAGAATCATTGGAGAGGAAACATCACCAGAACCGTCAATATCAGGTTCGACGTATGACAAAGGTGTTGTCGTCATTTCATTAAAATCGCCACTCGATTCGAAATCCGGGGCGCTCGTAGTGATAGCATGAATGATGATCTTTCCATCCCCCATGCCAGCTGTCGTAGATTCTATGTCTTCATTGTTAGTTTTCTTTGTGGAGTTGATTACAATCCACACACCAGTGGTGGAATTGATCCACGTGTCAGTTGTTGCCATCATAGGAGCTTCTGTCGTCATAGCAACAGTTGGTGTTGTGGCAACCGTGGTCGTCGTCTTGTCGTTTAGTTTTTGGATGAATTCGTCTGTTCTGTTAGTCTTAATAGCAGCTGTTCTGTCGGGAACTCCGCACCTGGGTAATGATTTGTTTGTTTATATCAATATCATGAAATATTAGCGACAAAGTTACAACTACAAATAGATTTTCACCACGAGCTTGGTTTTGTAAACGTTAAATCTACTACGTATACCAACATGGTGTCGCGAATTTCATTCAATTTGTAACCTCTGGTATATAATTCTACAATTATCATCGCTTCTCATTTTTGGTGATTTATTACATATTTATGGGGATTCTGATTCTTTTCAATTTATCCAAGTTGGACCATTGAACAGTGAACACCTAACCTATCTAGTTTATTACATCCCATATAAGTCTACCAACCTTGGTCTTCCCATGTATGAGGTGGTGTCGTTATCCAATTCCCCAGTTATATTCAAGCCGTTGATTCTTTGGTATTTCAGCAAAGCTCTTTGGTACTGACTTTCAGAAATATCTTCAGACGACCAAGTTATCAAATGGGATTCCTTATCGTCTCCAGTTTCTACGATCCCGCTTCCTTCAAACAAGTCTTTCCTGCCACGAGATTCGTCTTCTTCCAAGAGTGCAACATCATACTCAATTTCTTCTATAAAACGTGGTGCGACGTTGTTCCATTCAGTAGGTTTAACGTACCCGAATTTCGCCAAGAATTCCTAAATTATATAAAGTAATTTAAATTGTTATAAAGAATGAAGATAAAGAGATTCTTGATTGTCCAAACAAGTAATAATAATTGTTCAAAGTTCTTCAAATGAGAGGAGATGTTACAACATCATAAAATATTCAATTCGTATTAGACTTTCTTGCGTGTATGCTTGAAGATTTATGCGCGTGATTTTATCAAAAGATGCTGTCGGAACTTGGAGTTTGTCCAAGGTACAATAATTCGAATCCTTTAGCCAATATCTACCAATTTTATCAGACAACTCAGAACAAAATTCTATTGTTCTATATTCGTAGATTTAATGTAAACGTCTACATTCCGGTATTCACAAAAATGCAAATCAACGTCTTACGAAATGTTATCTTGTTGTGCATCATTAATTCACCTAAGCAGTGTGTAATTTTGCGGAAATAAAACTTAATCCGTTAAAAATAATATATAGTTTGAGCATGCATGCCATTATCAATGCTAATAAGCATTTTACTTTTTATGTAACAAGACAAATGCGCATCATTAAATGCAAAAACTACTAATGCATTGATTAAATATTCCTTTCTCTTACAAATTATCATTTTTATTCCATGTAACGAATCCAGTGTTTTTAAGACCGACATTTCCGAGGTGTGTGTTTCTGTGTGAACGACCTCTAATCAAAACAATCAATGACTATTAAGGAGAAAATTCAATTGTCATTCTGAGTTGTCAGTCGTGATAATAATGAATTAGTGACGTTCGTATTAAACGCTTGATCTCCACAAGTCAAAAAAGTTATAATATTTCTGCGATTTTCTAAAACTACTGCGCCATTGCATAAGTATCTAGTAGCATATGAAACTCTTTCGATTGCGAACGTGGCTTAAAAATCGTTCATTTTTCACGATTATGAATTCCTCAAATTGCAAACGTGAGATCTGATCGTTTACCGGAAAATGGCGTTGTGTGGGCGAGATTTATATTGGATAGCATTTTAAACTTGTTTGACCTTGCGTGTTCATGTTGAATCCTCTTCCGGTTCCGGGTAACTCCAACCAATCATTCGTGCATGCATTGCGCACTTGATAAGAAGTTTCACGTGAAACTTTGTAAAAATTTTGCAAGAGAATGCTAATTTTCCTTTTCCGCCGGAAATTGGGAAGTTTACGAAAAATATAGTTCCTAACAACTGACAAAATTGCGAACGTACAGAAACTGAATAAATCATAATTTCCAATTTTTTCTTTGTCAAATTGCATTTATCATGATTCATTGAGTTTTGAAATAACAACTTACTAACTAAACCTCTGGTTGTTTGGCTCACCAGAGTTAATTTTCCGGTTTTATACAATGTTGCTCAGTGGTGCTATCAACACATTTGACCTACACTGTACATCAAAGAAACAGTCGAAAAGGGCGGAACCAATTATTTCGACAACAAACTGTTTTTCTTGTACTAAAAATATTTCAATTATCAGCTAATAATCCCATCCGGAATATTTGGCGCCCATTTTGGTTTCAATTTCGTTTCATTTTACCAAATTGTCACCGCAACATATTAGACCTAAAGATGACACCAGTTACCGAGTTGAACGTGCCACAGAAATTCTGCTGGCAATGTTTTTGCGTTTCCTGTGGAATGTACGCAGGCGCGCGTGAACCACGACTTCGCCAACATTTTCTTAATTATCGTACTAAGTAAAGGTTGCTTTATAAAATGCTTAAGTTTTTTCACAATTAGCCGATTATTACGCATTCCTGAGAATAACAAAAATTCTCTTTTTCTTTAAGATCTTCAAGAGCGTAAATATACCTTGTTGAAATTATTCAGTCCTGACAGTTAATGACTCAAATTCTGCGTCCTCAGCGCTGATTATTACATGTCTTAGATCTAATTTTAGCTCGGATATTTGCGTTCGTATTATCGGGCCGCAGCCTATCATTGTGGGATAACATTCAGTAATTATACATCGGTTTGGTACACGCTGCACGTTCGCTAATGAGTGTGGTAGTTAACAACTTAAACTAAGCATGTGGCACTGACTTTAATTTTTGCAGTAGAAAGGAAAATGCTTATCAGTTTTATGTTGTAAGATCCGTTATAGTATGTACACTTTTTTTCGATTTTTTTCTTCGCCGCCCAGTTCGAATCATTTTTCTAATCGGTGGTTAGCGTTAAGATTCGATTATGCTTGCACGCTTTGCAGTCTGTTGTCTCCTGACCGCTTGGTCGGAATCATTTTCCGTTTCAATTTTTGCTTTAAAATTTGTTAGTCGGCGTTCTAATTAATTAGTATACCTTCGACCGCCTAGTTCCTTCTAATCACAAATGTATCTGTGAAACTTGTGTTTACATTCCCATCTGTATACTATTCATTAAACGAATTACCATACCCTCCGTTTACGAACAAAGCTGACGTTTTTGAGGATTTCATAAGAAACCTTGCAACAAGCAGTAAATCGAAAACATTTCAAAATTTCGCTTTTGAACCCAACAAAGTCGTGATTTGAAAGTAAGTAAATCCGATCAATTGCACGTGACGATCGTGATTTTGCGGTTGAGAACTAACGACATGTTTAACATCAGAATAAACAGATTTCATTGGGATTATCCTATTCCTGGAGACTACATGTGGCAAAGAAAATAAATAATAAACTCTAAATAGAAAAACATGAAAATATTACTATTGCATTTGTTAATAACATATTTTTTAACAAGCTTGCCGTTTTGTTATTCACGTCTTTAAACAACAAATGACATAAAACGCTAAATGTAAGAAGCCGTCATCGAACTTACAATCGAGGAATTTAACCCAAAAAGTGATTTTAAAAAAAAATATTTTGATAAAATGAGTATCTTTTTGATTTCTAAACTCCCTCAACTTTTTATTGGAATACTTGGAAAATATCGCCTCAAAATTTGATTAGAAAATCAATTTAAGAAGCATTTATTTTCTGCAAATGAATTTTTTAAAATGCCAACATTCGCCGTTCAGGCTTGAACCGCCGAATTAAGTTAGGACGAAGCCTGGCAGCTATTCGACCAAGCAGTAGATGACATAATTTTATGTTTTTTCATAAGAGTACATATAACACAAACCTTTGCTGAAAGTTTCACATCTTCTAGTGTATAAGCAGTTGTTGGTCGTTCTTCTATTTCTCCTCTTGATTCTGATTCAGACTCATCTATGTCATTGAAGTCGAGTGGTACTGATGTGACGTAACATGGCAATAATGACGTCACGAGTACTAATACAATAAAAAGATTTTTGGTGATAGACACTGAAGATGCCATCATTGAACTGTGTGTGAATCTTCCGTGCGAATTTTGTCGTTTTTGACAAATGTTTAGTCTTTTTTGGGTTGATGTATTTTTCAGTTCGCATCTACATTTTTGAGGTAAAGTTAAATCCGTTACATAGTTTTTTCCATACGTTTGAGGTACGGCTGTGCGTTCTTTTTGTTTGGAATTGTCCATTTGTGTATTTGGAGTTGTCATGTTTCGTTGTGAAGTCAATCCTAACGACCGTCCTGATGTATTATTTTTTGACCGGACCATTGGTTTGTAGACTATTTTCTGGAAAAGCAAAACAATAATAACAAGCTGCAATATTTTGTCATAAAGCTCTCTAGCGAAATTACATTATTAAATAATACAATGCAAATATTAAACTTTCGTAAATAAAATAACAATCGTGATAACACTCAAAATTCGCGTTTTCATTTTAACAATTTGCAACATAAATTATCCACACAATGCCGTAGTACAACCGAAATATCCTGAAAACATTTTATCTGCATTGTATATCAGAGATCGGTCAAGATATTGCACTATAATCCTGGCAAAACATTGTATCGTTTATATGGATGATAAACTATAATAGACATGTCGCGTGACGAATAAATCTTGCCGGAAAAGCACAAATCTTAATGTAATATTCTCGTATTTCAATCTATTTTATCTGAATATTAAATTAATATATTCGTATCATAGCTTATATTATTGTCGGCATTCGAAGATACAACATCGATTTTTATCAAGCTACGAACTTCCAACGAATAATTCGTAATAATTCCTCTCACGTCGTGGGAATGATACGAACCTAACTCGCGTGCAGACCACCCTAATCACACGACGATTCACGATCAAATGGCTTTTTAATACTACAGTAAATTGCTCGGCCTGTCAACATTTTTTCTCTTTTCAGAGATATCAACTTCGAATGAAAGATTTTTTGATAACTGACAGCTTTCGCGCCTGATTTATCACTAAAAAAAGTAACGCGATAAAGATAAAAATATAGGTGGATAAAGTTTATATTTTTAATTAAAAAAAAACAGTTGTATTTTGTTTGGGTGTTTTCTTTTCGCTAGATAGGATTTTTGTATTTTATTAACAGCTATAAAAATAACTTATTTTTAAGACAAGTTAACTTTTCTCCCTCACTGCTTAAGACGATTTTACGACTCAGACATTACCTAAGGCTTGATCAATATCTACGAATCATGTCTTGATTTAGACAAAAACCCATTTACGGAATATATTGAAGATGTTTATTGACTCACAACAAAAATGTCGACGCGATTTCACGCTTTTCGAAGGTCCAGAAAATGGAGAAAAAAAGTATTTGCGAGGCCTTATATTGTACACACTGTCGACTTGCACAACAAATCCGTTTACTACATAAATGAATCCGTTTACTACATAAATGAATCACATATACTCAATAAATATACCTCACCACTCATCAAAAAATATAAAGCGATACTCAATTACAGCTGATGTCTGACAAAGTTTGGCAAATTCTCTTCATATGTCTATATATACATATGTATTATTATATCTCCAGTCAGCTAATATACCTACCTAATATTTACTAAACATCATCAAAATGTGCAAACATATATATAACTTCAACTGGTGGCATCAAAGAAGTATTACTGCGATACGTTCACAGTAGCGATCAAATTATTGCACCAATCAAAGTTTTACTGCCAGCATCGGCGTTCTAAATATCGCGCGCGTGCCACCCTGTCGCCATACACCCCGACACTGACTCGCTTATGATTAGATACAATTATATCACAGACATAAGTCTTCAACTAACTGCTCATTATTATTATTTCACCAACTTTCTCGTCCTTGCACAATGATTGGTTGTAATTTCAAACGGAAGCTATTTTCTGTATTAAATCACGATGATAAACCATCCAAAAGTCTGTCATAATCATTGCTCCTTTCTCTGACGAGTCATACATTCGAAGAAAATTATCTGTCAGTTGTTGACATTATTTTGTAAGACACGTGAACATAACAGCCTTCTTTGAAATAACTGTAATACAGCGTGCTAGTCACTGTAGCTCGGCTATGGCATTGAAAGTTGAAAGCTCAAAATGATTTATCACTTGATCTCAACTTATATCGAATTGATCTCATGACGATGTTCCATCCTTATCACCTTTATCTTATATATCTAAAGATTTGGGATATAAACACAATTTAATTAAATGATATATGACTGGCCAATATGTTTATGAACGATCAATTTTATTAACGTCGTCTGTCTATCTCGAGTTGTAAGAAACGCGAATAAAAATGAAGAAAGAACAACTACGCGCGTAAACACAATAATTATAACGTAACAGATTTAATGTAGAATATGCCTGCTTGAATACCTACTTTATAAAGGCGAGGTAGTTGCATCTGTGTAATACAGGTATTACTCATTTCTACGCCATATTGCTGAATAATATCTTAACCAATCTAACTGAGAAACATTGTATCGTTAAATTCGCGAGAACCTTAATTGAAATGAACAAGTAAATCTCTGATTTCCGGGATTTTATTCGAAGCTTTTTTTCTCTCATTTCACCTAATTACATTCATTGAGTGACATGCGTAAAACGATCGATATAATTATTATTCAACTCAACGACTTGGCCTCGAAACACCACGCAATAAAATCGTTCCAAACTCCCCGCAATGAATACGGTAACAATCTCGATTATATTCATGATGAAACGACCTGATGGCACGGATTGGCGCTCCAGAAGTGTGTGTACCAATATGTAGGTACCTAATTTCGTTCGCCTATTTTACATCAAGTTGTGTAAAGAGACTGAAGCCTATGGGGCATATTCACTCAGCTAACACAAACAGTCCCCAAACTCGTAATAGGACTAAAATAAGGAAAATCAGAATAAAATTATAGCCAGACTCTAACCTGGTACACATACTACGTAGTCACATTGTTCCCGAACATCAAAATATTCTAACTATATTCAAACTTTTTATTTTTAAAACTTTTCTATAAGCTGATTTTCAATACAAAATACCCATTTTAAATATATTTTCTTCGGTAGACTTCAACGCAGATAGTTTACGATAGCCCAATACCCACACCTTCATTATAATACATTCAGAATCCAGAGTATGATTTTCACTTCATTATTCTTCTCCCTGAAATTAAATCTCTCACATTGATTGACATCAAGATTTCAATTCGTCCAATTATAAACCGAGTTCTTAACCTTAATTATTTTTTCGGTAGAATACATCATTGTTAATTTACGATAGCAAAATAACCAAACCTGTAATGTATAAAACCTAAACTACAATTCTAAAATATAGTATCAATTCTATATGTTCGCTTTTTCTATGGCCGTTCTCGATATCGATTTTTCTACAGTCTACCCAGATGGTTCAGCAGCAGTTATCATGGATAATTTACGATACCAACAACTTCATTTTATAACAACTAAACTATAACTTCGCCCCTAACATTAATTCTCTTAAACAAATTGACATATTTCAATTCGCCTAATTCTAACCTTGGATTCAGAAAGTGCGCATTCATGCTGCCTAAACTATGTTCTTACCGAGTTCATTATCTGGCCTTAGTCAACTGAAAAAATCAAGAATAGAACGCGAAAAGTTCTCGCCGCGGAGGTGAAAAATGCAGCGTATGCAACGATGTTAATCCTGATGTGCGTTTCAATATCCTTGTTCGTAGCCTTGGGCATTTAATTATTTGTTTTTGCTATTTGATATCTTTCGGTTCAAAGTTTATGTCACGCATTTTAACATAGAAAACGGTCTTGGTAAATCTCCGGAAAAATACACGGCAAAGACTGGCCCTTATCTGAGTGAATATAGATTGCAACGGAGCGCAATAAACGAGCTGGGAAACTTTTTATCAAGATCTCGTCGCCAGGGTAATCTTTTTGTCGATAAATAGTTAAAAACAAGAACTTTGGCCGATTTCTTTTTTGTGTTCACTTTAGATATAGGCATGTGACGCGCTTTGCAACGACTTCTTCTAAGTATTGATGTTCAGGATATATTTGACATGTACACAGAGTCTGCATTTATTTTGTTTACACACGCCATTTTTGCGATCAAGATATGATTCTTCTTCGGAGGTTTTGCTACATTGTTGTTATCGCGTGCCAAAACAGCCACACAGTGGTCACTCGGACGTCATCGATACAAGTATATCTCCTCTAACTAGGGATTTGAGGTTGGAAGTATTATCAACAGAGTGTATATGAATAAATTTAATCGTTGTTGAGATGAGCAAGTGACTCTACTTGCAACTCCGATTCCTCGATTTGGTTGTTTACAAAATGGCCGACGTATATGTTGTTACATAAAGTTACTTTATTGCTCAAAAATGTAGAAAACGCAGTCCTTACTTAAGGCTGATTTGGTTTTGTTATCAACGAGAAAATAACAGTTGCAAAATATATAAAGAACGAAAAATACCAACCGCGTTTTTTCACTAATTGATTTTTTAGAATGCCTATTTTTTAATATTTTAAATACTTAAATAATAGTCTTTCAAATTTGCCGAATATTTTTTTCATTTTCGAAGATGAATAATCATAAAATAATGAACGACTAATAATTTATACATACTTCGTTAATTACAACGGATAATTTATTTCATTTAATACAGAGTATTCTACTTTGGGAATCACGATAAAGCGATTGCCATCGTTTCCATTACATTACTTTATTTATTCTTTTTCCGTATAAACGAATTTTATTAAATTTGAATTATTTTTGAAAATTTCCTATTTAAAGAAAAAAATATAATTTATTCAATTTCTTGGAAGCCTCGTCTAGCTTGATAAATTTATAAAAAATGAACGATGCCTGGACATCAATCGTCGAATCGGTGTTGATGAAGTTAGTTTAGTGTTTTGATCATATCAGTTAAATTTGACATACCTATAGTAGACGGCTAGACAAAACCGTGAAAGGACAAAATGTCAAAGGTCACGCCAAAACGCGGATATAAGCTTAATAACAATGGCTGCCTAACGTATTTGCTCCTCGTCAATGCATATGGCATATTGCGGGAAAAAAATTTCTTTTACGTTATTTCACGGCTCACTTTCACGTTCATTTCCTGTACATGGAGCGAAAGTTGAAAATAGGGGAAAATTTAGGGGAAATAGGGGACTTATACAGGTGTTCGTTATGTTTTTGTGATTCTAAACCAGACAAAACGTTGCAGAGTGACGCAGATGTGTTTAAAATCGAGGTATTTATGCGTGTCATGTCTAGGTATCAGACGACTAAACGTCACAAATACGAAAAAACATAAAAAATGGAATGGCATTTTGCAATAGTTTAAGGAAAATTTATATTTCTAAAAGTGTTCAAGCTAGGATAACTTACTCAAACATGATAGAGCCGAAAAGGTACATATGTATGTCTTCTATGCTAATGAAATATATATTTCATATTTACTTCATTTGTACAATTACAAAGAAATTTTGGTAATTTCAATTACGTCCCTGAGATTTACGTCAAAGTTTTTGAAACCATCTTACCATAGATCTTGAATAACATGATTATAATTTTCTGTGATTTTTTCTGATATTTTTTGCCATCGTTTTGATCTGAGCAATTTTGAGGTAATTCGTCACCATTGAGCTTCCGAGAAGTACGTCAATTTGAATGTAGCGGTAAAGTGATTAGTATCCCTAATCGGAATTATTAAGTATTTTATCACTTAACTTGTTTAAAATAATTATTTCTCTCAAACGTCATAAATGACATGGCAAATTTTTTGAATAATAATTATGTTTTCGTCTTATTTATGTCAAACGCATGGAAATTTACAAGCTTTTTATATTTATTTCCTTGAAATTGCAGCAAAAAAAAAAACCGTCAACAGTAAAAATAAATAATTACAAATTCAAATTTCTTTCGATGTATGCATTTTCGTTTTACATGGGAAGTTCACAATAATAACTATTCTATAGCACGAATTGAAGAGTTTTATATTACTTGGTTTCACTCAGAATTGACGTTTGAATCAAAGATTCAAATTGAAACGCTAGAAGAAGTTTCTTTTTTAATGTATGAATTTTTCGTTTTTGAATAGAAGCGCATAAACTATCCTATAATATTGACTTAATAATTTTCAAACTACTTGACGCAAAAACCTGATGTTTTTATCATTTCATATAAACTAATCAAAGTATAAATATGATAGTCCAACATTTCTGCAATAAAATATAATAATGTATCAACTATTACTTTCTAAACTGCCCTCATTCTGAAGATGTTCTGGATTACCCATTTTCTATAAACATCATTATATATATATATTCTGTAAAATAACGTTTTATCATTTAAAATCCCCTTTAACGCCATATTTTAACGAGATTTTCGTTAAGATCTTCATCAACCAGTGTCAATCGAGTACTTTTGAGAAGTCTGATTATTTCTACTAGTGCGCAAATCTAACGATATTATGAATAATCTATATAAAAAAAAAAATTCTGTAATTCAGCGTTTCATCGTTTGAAAACTAACTTTAAAGCCTGAACACGATTTCCGTTAGGACATACTTTTTATCAATCCAGTGCAAGCTACGTACTTTTGTGAAGTCTGTACGTTACGGAGAGTATTCTCATTTCACAAGATCACTTTCTATCTTTCCTATAGTTACAAATGATAGACCAATTGAACACGATTAGGAGAACGAAGATCACGATTCCTTGATTTTATCGCACCACAAATATGTACCTGATGAAAATCAGTGTGATCCGATATCGTCGATAACTGCTCGTAGATTATATGTAATCCAGTCGTAAGAATGCCTTTTCCTCTTCAAGATGAAGAATCGTCTTTGTCAAATGTTGAGAGTTATATAGTTGGTTATATACATCGTACTGTAAACTATTTAAAATACTGTGAAAAAACATAAGTATTTAAGTTCACCCAAGTACTAAAATCAAAATAAAAAACGTCGATTTCAAAAATTTTGAGAGTTGTATGACTGGTTATGTATATTGTTTTGTAAACTATTTATGATACTGTAGAATGGATTTTAGATAAAAATCAAATTTTTTAAAATCGAATGTTATTTCAATGATAAAACTAAACTAACTATCAGTAGACTCCCAATCCTTCCTCAAAGTCGTTGCGTCAGTGGAATCGTATGCGTATAATGCAAGGATGCTGTAACAGGAATGACCATGACCATACTATGCAATTCAAGAGTCCGGCTGTACACTAACACAAATTTAGGTACTCTCAAAGTATGTGAACCAAGATGGCGGACACCGGAACGTAGTATGTGTACCAGGTTAGGGTTAGGCTATAGTTTTATTCCAATTTTCCTTATTTTAGTTCTATTACGAGTTCGGGGACTAGCCAAGTAACTCCCGTAATATTTGTACCTGAAATTATGGCCTAATCCTAACCCGGTCCATCTTGGTTCACATACTTCGGGAGTACCATTTCGCCTGACCAAAATCAGACTTCATCAGACAAGCAGTTCACAACGATGTTGTGAATGTAGCACAGTAACAACCCTACGGTAACACACTTATAAAATTTTTGAAAAGTAAGGTCTTATACAGCGAACGATTTTGGGTCATTTTCCAATAAATTCATATTTGACACAAAAAAATACCTTGAACGGCGCTAATAAACATTCATTGGTACAATCAATCAGGCGACGCAAAGTCTGGATGCCGTTTTGTTGATAGATGAAATGTCAAATATTTTCTAAATACAAACTCGAGATAAATACTTATTATCATTGTTTATTTATTTTCAAATGACCGGAGTAAGCAATGTCCAGAAGTAGACTGAAATCATAAAAACACTTGAAGGAGAATAATTCATACAATTACTAATACTTCCAATAAATAAACGAACTGTATTTAGATATTTTTTTTTTTTAATAAATAACTGCCTATTTTTTCTAAGTCCTTATTAGGTTAAATAATAATAAAATTCATTGAATGCCTAAGGATCACAGCTGTATCACCAGTATTTTATCAAAATATATTTGCTTCCCAGTAACTTTTTCAATTTGGGACTACCTGATTGTGTTTCAACATTCTAACATGCATGTGTTGGTAAATTTTTAACAATTGAGCTAGCTCTATTAATTTACGACGTTTTCATTGTTTAATTTATGTATGAAGTTTCGTAACATAGCATAAAAACTTGTGCATCTACAAATGATCACTTGTCTGTAACCTTTTCATGCATTTTTTGTCGTTTAATATAAATGTAAAATGTCATTTGAGTTTACCGCTAAATAACAATCTTTTTGTTATCTTCACTGATTTTGCAAAAATTTTAACTTCCGAGCCGCTCCCATTTTTTATCATTATCTCCAACACAATTAGCAAAAACTAATTATTTGTGCGACAGGTCTACCAGACACTTTAAAAAATGATACGAAAATGATTCGAATTTCGAGTAATTCAATCAGTGTTTGGACTGCGACGATCTGCCCGTCCGAATCTTGTTCAAGTTCTGACATGAACGTGCGAATGCCTACTTTGGATTCTGAAATGTGAAATTACTGCAGCTCTGAACCATAACTATCTTTTTCGTCATTCTAATAATATATAACAACAATACTGTAATAAAACGCATTCCAAACTAACAGAAGTTCAAGGGAATACACGTGGTGCGACACCAAGTGGATGACCCACGATGTCCCGAAACTTCGACAAGACTAGGAAACCGTCTCTACCACAGAAATCAGTTTCAGCTACCGAGTATCCGCATCGTACCAGACTACAATACATGTATTATGAGACTTAATTTTCTATCTTCACATATTATAAAGTATAAAAAATCTATTTATGTATTTTAATAATTAAAATCTTGTCACGGATTTCAGTTCGTGATTGACCATCCTTAGGAACTACCTGACAATGTCCAAAACAATGTGAACTTGCTTTGGCAACGACTGCCTGTCTCGGAAAACCGCGGTGGAACGAATTTGATAATGCAAGGTCGGATGGCGATTCAGCTTTGTTATTATTTTTAGACGAACTCATCTGGAATAAAATGATCATTGTTAGCATGGTCACTAGACCAATTTTCACGTACACCCGTGGTCACGTGATTAAAACCACGCCTTTCGCGGCACTCTGAATATATAAAAAAATGCGTAGATCTTCGTTCTTTCGCGCAGAGTAAAAAAGAGTGAAATTATGTATCAATGACATAAATTAGTCTTTGGATTTTCAAATTACATTTGTTGGAAGTTTGGCGTTAAATTTTATTGACGATTTATTGAAACCAATGATAAAAGGGAAGCATTATCTGTGATATAAATTAGTAGAGTTGATTCGTTTTCATTTTTGCTACTGGCTACCGTCACAGTTCTGTAAAGTTCATAACAGTTTCTCAGGTAACAAATGGAAAAGCTGAACATGGACTCTCAAAATTATATAATTCTCAATATCCAATTTAATTCTGTAACTAAGGATACCAGTAACAATATTTAAATACAAAGATAAATACTGGAATATAACAATTAACAACACCCTTACTGAGCGGCGGTGATTTTGACCACTATACAGACGAATCTAATAAAAATGTCTGGTGGATTTTTTAAAATAGTGATCGCTTGATTTTAATCTTAATCTATTGTTATTATTTGTTCTTTCGTTTATATGAATCAGAACCAAAAAATTCAATCGTAGGAATGCAAAGTCATTAGTCGCTATCCCAAGCATGACTGTTGCCACATTTTTGATTCCGAATCAAACTGTTTACATTAGCAAACTTGGAAGTAAAGTTTGCGGTGTCATTTATCGTTAATCTTTTAATATTGGTTGAAAAATTCAGGATTTTTGTCGACTTGAATTGTAGCTTAAATATAAATTTTAATTCTGTAACGTTTCAATATTTAGCGAACTAAATAAATCACACAGATTTCAAACAGTGATAAAATATCATCCCATTAATGAGAAATAAAGTCCCGAAGTTGAATTCGGTACAAAATAAACTCATAAAAATAGCATATGAGTTATATAAAAAAAATTCCTGGCATTTTTCTTTTTTTTTCCGAAAGAAGTATGTTGCTTAAATTAATAATGATGTGTCACACTATGGAACGCCCAATTTGTTTTGTGAACATTGTCGTGGTTGAATGGCTCGGTTAAGAAAATGTCAAGTTGATTATGTAATTAGTGAGGTAGTAGTACGTGCTGGTCCATTCCTGAATTTTATTAAAAAGTATAATTTCACTGGCTGATCTTCGTTTGTTCGTGGGTTTTTAAATAATACTAATCTGTAATTAAATTCTTCATCCTTCCTCTAAACAAGGCTATGGGCAAGTTTGCTGTATGCTATCTGAATGGGGTGATGGCCGTTGATCTAATCAATATTTAAAACCGAAATCTATTATCTGAATACCCATAGTACGGGGCTCCCGAAGTATGCGAACCAAGATGGCGGACATCGGAATGTACTATGTGTACTAGGTTAGGGTTAGGCCATAATTTTAGGTATAAATACTACGGTAGGCTCTTGGCTAGTCTTCGAACTGATAATAGGACTAAAATAAGGAAAATTGGAAAAAAATTATCGCCTAACCCTAACCTGTTACCCATGTTACGTTCCGATGTCCGCCATCTTGGTTCGCATACTTCGGGAGCACCCATAGTACTCAGGTAGACCATTTTTCGTTTATCCCGCGTTTTTAAATCCTATTACTTTGTATTCTAATATGTCACATTCCATTTTTCTATGTAAACAAGGTGCTAAACAAATAGCTACACGAGAGCTATACACTCTGAATGAAGTTTTATAACCGTTGATCTAATCAGTATTTGATTTCGAAATCTATTATCTTTATCACCATCATTTTTCATCACAAAATTCATATATTTATAACTTACAAATCTACTACATTTTCACTACAATCTACATATTACTAAAAATTTCATTCATTACCTGTCTTGAGAATAAATTGAATATAAATTCACGTTCATTGTGTAACCATTGATCTAATCAGTATTTAAATCCATAATCTTTTATTTGCAATACAGTCGTGCTTTACCAACAAAATTTTGTATCTGATTCGATATCGAAAGCCTACAAATCTATTACTTATAATTCACGGTATAGCCTAAAATACTACCTCTCCTAAAATGCGAAAATTTTAAGACTGTTAATCTTATATCAGGGCAATTAATTGAATACATTTGCCATGATTTATGTTATAGCAACGATACCCGCGCTTGCGTTTGTTTTCACTAAAGCTGAAATGAAGCGTGAATTTTTTTTAATATATTGTCGACTTGTTTATCGATTGTGGCACTTCAACGTTATTTAGAAATAAAACGACAGTCAATGTACACGGGTATCCTCATCTTTTTATATAAAGACGCATTCAGACGCACAAGGTTCTGTATCTGAACAATCCCTCGAGGATTCTATCGTCTGATGTTAATTTGTTGATCGGTGTGCTTTTGTTGCATCACAACATCCTTTTTTATTGTCACGTTTTAATAATCGCAAGAAAAAATATCGATTTCACATCTTATCAATCCATCTTTTTTGTTAAAGAATTTTTAATTGTGACGCTATAGTGGATTTTATCGTGTTATTTGTTACGTCATAAAATATCCGGTTTCAGTTTTATGCAAATTTTCGCGCATTGTGATAGACAATGTTTGATTGTCTGTCAGTCATTCTTTAGTTATTCAATCTCCGACGTTGTCCGCAGGTTTTCATTAACTGCGCGGAGAGATAACAAAACACCACTGTAGATAAAAATCATTTACCTTTCCTAAATGATTCGTTTTAGACATACTGAAATTGCGGCATTGCATTTTCGCTCCTTAAAACTGAATTAATAAATATAGAACACTTTTTTTTATATGTGTTGATAATATGCTCTAAATTTCTACATTGTCAGGG